TCCAAAGTATGTATTAGGCTTACTCAATTTCAAACTACTAGATGTCGACTCCCTTGTCCTAAAGGCTTCTATTTATCCTTGCAAAGTAGCTATTTAGCCTAAGAGGTGATATATTTAAGCTTCCATCTGAGATTACTCTACCATATCTTTAATGTTGTAATTTCTTTGTTGGACTCTACTATTGTAATGCTTTCTCATTTTTTGATTAACTTTTTAAAAATAGCTTGTGATAGCTTCAACATTATATCCAATGTAACCACAATAATTGATCTTGAATTAAATAATGGCTATCAACACACTACCAAAGAACAGTCTAATACTCACTCTAATATCAATGAAACAAGAGTAGTAAAATAGAATAAAACTCAAAAGAAAAAATTGTGAAAATAGAAATAGAACAAAACAAAATTGAATAAGAAAATGCAAAACCAAAATTTACTAAAAGAGAAAGTCTAAAGCCATATCTGACCACATGCCCAAAAAGCCCTGATTAGTCCTATTTTTACCTATTCTACTATCCTAGACTTTCTAGAATGTTTCTAAATGATGGATCACACTTAAATAATTTTCTTAAATTCCTTTCAAAAGATTCTATGGTGGACCTTATATAAATAACAACCTTAGGCTCTTTTTAGAATCTTATATAGTCCACTAATCTAGCTTTAATTTTGAAACTTCCATAACTTTTCAAACATGATTCCAATTATCTAATCTTATGTATCAATAATACAAATATCTTATCTATAACCTATTATAATATTGTCTTTGAGTGATATTTTAGTCTTTTCAAGTGACACAAGAGTATATTGATATTTTAGTTCTTTGAGGTTCATGTCCTTAACAATTTAATAAGAGTCCTAATTCATTGCTCTAGTCTTATTTTAAAAGTGATTGGATTATTCTACTTCTATTGTTGTATTTTGAAAGTTGTGGATTACCTACTTTTAAATAAATTGTTTAATTTTCTAATATCAATTTTTTTCTTAATAAAAGCCAATTATCCCTCTTTGTAAAAAATTTTATTTGATATTAGAGGTTATAAATTACTCTCCTCTAATTTGACTTGTGAATTTATTAAATTATTTGAAATAGAAGAAAAAATTATAGATGCTATACTTAGCATAAGTGAGAATAGATTTATAACTATTGCAGACCTTCAAAAAAATTTCAACATTCTTAAGGTAGAAATTTTATACTTCATTAGCACCAAATCAAGGAAACACTACTCCTATGCCTAAGGAAGAAATTTAGAGTTTGCATTAAGAAGTTGTGAAATTGAAGGAAGCAAGTAGATCAACCTTACAATCAAATTTAGGAATTTTCTTTTTTATAAGTACAATGGGGACAAGGATTGATGGAAGAATATCAAAATTTCAAGGATTTTTGCAATAAATCAAGCTCTATCTAAAGTTGCATTCTTTCCAATATAGATTTATTCAAGTTGGTGATTTAAATCTCTATATAAACTTATATTTAACAATGATATCCTATCTTCTATTATAGAGGAGAGAAAGATGATAGCCAAAGGATGTAAGATGCATGTAGTGCAAAATCAAAAATTAATGATTGCTTGAATTTTCTTGCCAATTGGCTTTGCAATTGAATTAACCTTTTCATTACCAGCAGCTTATTGTTTGTAAAGTATAATTTTGATATAAATAAAAATAAATTTCACATAGCTGAAGCAAGTGAACTTTGATTGTCATAAAAATATTGCAAATGAATTCATTTGCTTATTCTACAATAAGAAGGTTCAAAATATCCAATTCACAATAAAACTCCATGTTAATTGTAATAAAGACAAAGTCCAAATTTGAGTGTTTGACAAAGAATACTTCCATAAATCAAAGAATTTTTTTATAATAAAATGAATTCAAGTAATAAAATAAATATTAACATTGATTGATTGTAATAAATAAGCATCGTAGCTTACTCCTATCCAATGAATTGAAACTTTTGTATAGTTTTTCTCTAATGTAATGTAAAGTACAATAAAAATTTAGTTAACTCTACACTTTTTCTATAATTCTATACATCCTATGTAAAACTCTTAGCTACCACAACAATTGTATTCTAGCTATAATGAAGCAAAGTTACCAACTTCAAAGGTCATTTTCAACTTTGGTTTCCATAATAGTAGTCATGTTGTAGGTCTGGCATTGTCACCATTTTGGCGCTAGTGCTGGTAGTAGCATTACTTGTCAATTGTAGTCTTGTCTATGGATGCATTCTGCTAAACAATCCTTGTGGCCTAGCCTACTAATATTGCGACTACTATCTCAAAATTAATTATAAACTATATTGTGATTTGGTCTTTTTTGCTAGTGGATTTTGCTCCACCACAAAGGCATTCAATCCTACATATAATGAGTTGGATTAGAGCAATATCATGTGTGCTTTGAATCTGCCCCGCAAACTCAATGGCATCTTTGGTGACTTTGGCATCCTATATGAGGCCTTAAAATTGCCGCAATTGTAGAGAAAGCTCAAGAATAATCTCCACAACATATCAACTATTGTCATAGTCAAAGATGTGTTCATCTGATCACAAAAATCAAAGAGAAGAGAGAATCAAATGTGGATGTAGCTTAACATGAATGATGCAAAGTCCATAAAGAGCAAGTTGACAGCACGATCTTTTGCATCAACCATTCATATTTTGTGTCCAAGTTTACATATACAACACAATCTTAGATTGAACTTGATATATATACATCTTCATATGTATCACCAAATCGAAGTCACATCATAGGATGCTTCTTATATTCTTAGCTTTAAGTTTGAAACAATTAGATGCTTGATGGATTCATTCATTTTGTTTGGGCTTCAATTGGAGAGACTTTAGGACCATATAAATCAAAAGCTAATGTTGCTCATTGGTTAGAGCGTCGCTTAAATCTTTGAGGCCTTTTTGCAATTTAGACAAATTTATTTAGATTTTGTAAGGCAAAATGAGCTTTGTATCAACTGCCATTTGTTAAGAATCCATATCAAAGTTCTAAGCTTTTCTCTCCTCTTGCCTACCATAATAGAAACATTATCATTAGTTATATTGTTATAAAAAAAATATAACTAATCACCTAATCACTTGATGAATGTTTTTCAAGCTAATCTAGCCTTTAAAATAGATGCAATACATAAAAGCGGATAGTTGAGTTCAAGTAAAAACAAAGAGGGGTGCATGCATTGAATGAAAGCCACATTCTATTTCCACAAAATGTAAACTTTTAAAATAAAAACAAAGATCTAATGATTGCATAAAGGCACTCTTTTTGCAATGCAAAGCTCTATAAAACAACTTATGAATTCTATAAAACGACCTATGAACTCTAGAGAAGATGAATTTTTTTGATGAAAACCAAGACCAATCTATGTAATGAATGAGAGCTATCACTTGTCTCCTTGAGCGATCTTAATATATAGATGATTGCTTGTTAGATTGGACTCTTGGTGTATTGATCTAAGTATGGTCACATACTTCTTTCAACTTCATAGTTGAAATATTGAAGTTTTAGAATTAAATGTTTTGATTGGAGCTTCTGAGAAAAAAAATATCCTATTAGATGCCATGTTGTTTTCTTATTGATCAACATTGGTAATGCTAATGATAAAAACTAGACATGACAAAAGACTTCAGTTATAGAAAATCAAATTGTGGCTAAAAAATAGTACTTGATAAGGTTAAAGATCTCACAATGGACATATTATGTGAATCCTTTGGAAGCCATGGATTATAAGTGAAAATTAACAAGATTGATTTGTTTGTAAACACAGTTTGATGCTTATATCACTAAAGTGATTGAAGGAAATTTTTCTTTAGCAAAAAATTATAGAATATGTTTTTATGTCTTTAATTGTAAGACTGGTGATAGTAGCAAGTGCATTTTGAATTTTATACGAGATTCTCATAAGCATGCTCTTAAGGTGTAATTTAAGCCTGTTGTATTACAAGCTTTTTAACTTCTATTTCTATTCAATTTAAACTATTTATTAAAGAAGAATTCTATGACAGTGTGCAAGCAAATCACAAGATGAAGATTACAGAATCCTAACAAGAAAACAAGAAAAAGAAAAGACTTGAAATTGACTCTAAGACCATGCAAACTAGTTGAGGTAAAACTAAATAAATAAAATGAAAAGTCAACCAAAGTGTAGGAAATGACTTTTGCAAAAAAGAGTTTGAAAAAACTACAGTAGAGCTTGAGAGTCTTTGTTCCAAGCAAATATACTTGTTGGATTCCCCAAAGCTTGTGGCTGTTGGACTATAACTCTACCAATGTAATTGTACTAACAAAAAAACATATCAACCTGGACCCTCAACGGTAACGTCTAATTTAGCTGTACAAACTGCAAAATCCATCCACAATCAACTGCTTCAGCAAGAACTTATCTCCAAACAAAACCGATATCACAGTCCCAGACTTAAAAATGAGCACAGATCATGAGAAGAATGTTTGAAAAGAATATGCAGGAATTTGCTGGAAAAGAAGAGCCCATTGCAAAGGGAGACCCCCATAGATTGAGATATGGATGCTGGTTGCAACACAGTGAGACATAGTAACCATCCCAGACAAAAGACAGAATGAACTTTATCAGTATTACATCAGCGTCACATCGGCATCTCCGTATTTATTACCGACAAATGTCAGAACGAACCTCATCAACATCACATCAGGATCGCAGTATCCGTTGCCGACAGGGGAAGATAAGCAAATGCAACAGCTGCAGTTAATGATGCGTCGAAGACAGGTCTAAAGTTTATTCTCCGTATAGAACGGACTTGATGTGGGGCCGCGGGGTGCAGTGAACTATCGCGTCTTACTTCAAATATCAATGGTCGTTGGTCCGAATCCCATCGTGGTCGAACTTATCTATCTCACACTTAGAGCCAGAGAAAGGAACGGTCTGCTCGCACTCTTCTTCGACCAAACCTTGAGATTCTCATGAGTTCGGCAATGACACAGGTATGCTCCACTCCGATCCTCAAAGTAGACAAAATATAGATATGTGTTCATATGTTACTTTCATTGCTCAGATATCCGGAAACACAACAATCGGAGTGGGCCATTACTAGAAGCTAGCTCCTGCAAACTATCAGGCACTACAAGCTGAGGCGAGGTGGACTTCCAAACATCAAAATAAGAAAATCCACAAGCAGACGCAGCTGCAAGAATATCAGCTTCCTGCACCTTCCTAGAAAAATGACACAATACGAACAACGACGAGCTCTGCTTGGCGATGAGAGAGCTCGCAGTTTGGAATAGAAGAGGCACTGCAGCAGCCACGTATGTGACATCAGTACCCACAATTAAATCGAACCCCGCTCTTTGGCATTCAGACTTTATGGCTTCAACATCTTCTTTCTGTCCCCACTCCAGCTTCCTGCAGCATACTTTACCGACAGGAAATGAACTAGAGTTCAGTTCCATGTTTTCTTGAAGGAGGCTCATGCTTGCAGGGTCACCATCTGTGGCAAATACTGTTGCAGCAGAATTTGACACAATCAAAGAACTAAGTGCTGTCGCTCCACAACCAAGCTCCAAAACTCGTTTGTTGTCATAGAGCGCTGGATTAGCTTCCAACACCGAGGCAAGAGCTGGAGCTGCATCCCAAAGGAGAAGGCCTGTTGCTCTCGTTGTGTGCTGGTTTTCCCTTGCTACACATTTGATAAGCAGCAAGCGATTGCCAACTTTGATTTTTGTCACCTATATAAATGGCCACAACTGGTGTATTACCATCTTGGCATACTTGCAGGTAAAACAGAAGGTTCGCCATGAGACTAAAAGAACACGCCATTCTAACTCAAAAAAGGGCGTGAGGCAGGATTGTAAATCTTCAGAAAAGAAGAAAAAGTTGCCTCTACCGTGAACTTGCATAATACTAACCTCAACTGTGGGTATGGCCATGAAAAGAGATGCGACACCCTCAGAAAGGTCAACATCGACTGACTCCTGTACCATAGTGGTCACTTTTGCTGCTTGCTGCATGTCTTCCATTGAATCAGCACACGAAGTTTGTGTTTTCTTTTCTCCATCCACAGGAAGAAAAAACTCCCCTTGGATCCAGCGCCTATGTATAAGCACCGAACAAGATGTCGTTACGAGCTCGTGTTCAAGTGTTCCTCTAACTATCTCATATTGATAATTCACAATGAGTGGTAAAGCATTATCCTAAAGCGCGGTAGGGTTGTAAGATGATGAATGCTTCACAAATCTTATTAGAAATATTGCTCCTGACAAGAACAGTCCCGGATGAAAACACTTATTTCAACAAGATTTGAACACATTTTGTCGATTCAAATCCAATGATATAATTTCGAGCAGAGATAGGGGAATCTCGACTAAGAGTTGAAACAAAGGAATAAGGAACGAACCGATTCATGACGAGCGATCTAGAGCGATTCTCCACTTGGCGGCAGTGCACGGTAACTGACTTACATAAGATCCCCTCCTTTTCGAACAAACTCACAAGCTCGTCCTCGGAGAAATAGTAAGCACGCTGTAGAAATTAAAACGCGTCATTTAGGGCACAGTTTAAGACCAATTTAGATCTTCCCACCTTCACAATCCCAAATCTTGATAAAAAGTTGACTGTCAATATACACCTTCTAGTCCTATATAATCTTCTAATGAATTATGCAAACTTGCTTGATGGAAGAGCCTTGTTATTAATTTGTACTTTGGGCCGCCTAGAGGCTGAGGCTCTAGCCCAGATGGTTCATGATATTTCACAACTACCTAGCTCGATTTAGCAAATTCAGCCGTCATGCAAGGTCTCTGTTTGAAGAAAGAAGGGATATATTGCATACCGTCCCATCACTCCTTGCAAAGAAGTTTTCACTAATTTTCTGAACCTTTTCTGTCAACCTTTTCTGGAACGGAGAACAAAAACATTGTGTCAGACGAAGGAAGCAAGACCCAAAGATGTGCTTGACTTGGTGTATCAACACACATCATTCCAGTTTATGTTAAAAATAGAGCGATGCAGTATGTCTCTACATTGAAAACAATTTAAACAATTTTACTGCGCCATACCTGTGCTAGGTCACCGACAGCATAATCCCGAAAAAGAACATAACCACCTGGCTGTCCCAACACTCAACCAAGTACAATACTAGTATAAAATTTTGCAAGAAAACCTTGAAAGACATGCCACTGGCAAAAACAGCGCTGATTACAGCTTCAAACCTACCAGTAAATCATATGATCTAATTTTATCCACTTGATTTCCTAGCACAACAAATGCCAAGCAACAGATAATTTCAGCATTGTGGTAGCCAGCTCCAGACCTACATCGATTATGAGAAATAACTAGCGATTACTGGTGACATGAATTTTTGACCAACATATGAGAAAAAATAAAAAAATAAAAAAATAAAAAGAAAGAAATAAAATAAAATCTATACTCCGTAAGAGCTGCAACGGTGATAAGTCAACTGGCACTAGAGCACCGACCTTTAGGACCCGTTTGATATTCTGCAGAACACCCGGCATTTTCTCAGGCGAGACCGCTGATAGCATGAACACCTGTACAACAAAACGACAGTTTTAAACCTGCTCGATTTACTGTGTGCAGAGGCTGTCATTCTAGGTAGTGGTTATGACCTACCTACTCTCATGGACTAATCTTCACTTACTGTAGTGATTCTAAGTTAATCATCAGCTGATACGGATAGCTAGATTCTCTACAAGAATATTTTCGTACCAGTCGCATTGTACGAGTAGATATCACAATGCAAGTGGTTTAACATAACGTAAACAAATCGTGAGCTATGTTCTACCCTTATGATCTAATTAAATATCTCACTAGTATCATGGTCTTCCCAAAAGTCAAGAAGGACGCTCATTGAGACTAGCCTATGCAGGCCGCCCTCACCACTATCAAATAGTCGTAAGAAAAGTTCTTTCCTTCCTAAATTGCCCATACCATGGTCACAACATCCACGGAGGCAGGTTGAATAGAAGCAGACAAGTCCTCGGAAACAGCATCACATACGAATGCATTCACTCGGCCTCCTTCGTACTCTGGGTGTGCCTGTCATATTAACAATCAGTTTCAATTCAGTCTTTTAGCTAACTTCCTCTGAACTCTAAGTTAATAGGAAAAGCTAAGCATAATCATGTCAAACAAGTCAAGACCCTCCACTGATGCTTAAGTACAATTATGAACGGAGGACTAAAGAGAATGCCAATATTACTTGCTGAATTAGAGTCGCATGCATCACAAAGAGCAAATTGCACCAAAATGCACATAGGATGGAGATTAAATCATGGACCTTGACAAGGCTGACAGCTCGATTAGAGAAGTCACAGGCATGTACAAATATGTTGGGATATTCAGCAATTAAAGGAAACACCGTATTCCCAGTTCCGCATCCAACCTGTGAAGTCATAGCAGCCAGAATTCAGAACCTATAGCACATCTGCCTACATCCCTAACCACAAGGTATCTCGAAGACGTTTCAAATTTCTTTGTAGGCATTCTCACTGCATTTGTTTCCAATCCTGCTAACTTATACAGGCTGAAACATCAGAAATGCATACCTCCAAAATGACTCGTTTACAGTCACAATGTTCGTTCTTGTCAATCTGCAGATCATCAACCACGTTCAAAACTGGAAAAGGGAAAGGGGCAGCATGGCTTGCTTGAATATGATAAGAGACCATCCATTCATCAAGACCTGAGGTACCTTACAATAACAAGCTGAGTTACCTTGAACACATACCGCACTAGTGAAACCAAGGACTAACCAATCAATGAGGGTCTAAAGCCTTCAGCTCATCAGTCAAATTCATCTGAAAATCATTACACGGACAATACATAGCTCAACTCAAGAACCTGAAAAGAGCATACCTACCGTGCCCCTGATGTACTCGCCCCATTCCTTGTCAAGATAATGCCGATCTTTGAAAAACTGCACACGTGAAGAAAACTTCAGTACATCATATGTACTTTTTATAGCGTTATGAATTTCTGAGCCACAGCAGCAAACATCTCCAAACACGAAACATCACGAAGTATATCAACAACACGTGCCAACTGCTTTTACTGAGACGGCTAGAGCAACCCATTGAAGTAGACATATAAATAAGTGAAATAATGGTGGTGATGGGGGGTTCACGTACACGATCGGCATTCCGCTTGTAAAACAAGTCCCAGTTCTTACCAGCTTCTTTCTCATATTTTTCTGTGAAACCCACAGAAAATGGGTCAGCCCTCAATACCAGGGGGTTTAGGGTTTTAGAAGTTCGGCAAAGATATCTAGAAAACACAAACATCCCAACAGAGAATAGTGGACGCATTTGTGAGCATCAGATGATTCTCTTTTCACATGCAATATTTCTTAACCTCAGTAGAAGCAATTCCGGACGCATAAGATTCGAAATTGCAAGCAAATCCAAAATCTAGGAGCTGACTGCGAGTTCTCCTCCGCTCGATTGAACTCAGGCAAGAAATACAAGCACAAATCTGAGATGCCGCATTCTTCCCTAGCTCTCAAAGTACATCAGACGCTTCCCGTCGACGATTGAATGAGGACAGTGAGTTGGGGGGAGGAGGGGACCGGATGATTGAATATACCTCGCAAGTAAGGCGACACAAATTCAGACTTTTGTGGGTAAATTAGCACCCGCTTGGAGCAGCTTGTAAATGCTTCAGCGTCTGCCATGACCCTCAGCTACCTACAACGACGCGACACCCTAGCACCTTCAAAACATCATCAGCTCCGTCACCCAAACCATCCTGCTACTTCGCAAGCACACAAGATTCCGCAACTTCCAAGTCAAAGAACCCTACAACCGCAGATTGGAGGAGTAAATGGGGATGAAGAGCCTATAAGCAAGGATGATGGGATCCTTGATGAAGAACTTCCTAAAATCAGAAGTAATTGAACGCGGCAGGGAACTTCGTCTCTCTTTTCCAAGCGTCTGTTTACCTTTCAACCTAACCATTTTTCAAATGTCAGTCTTAGCCAGTTTTCATGTGCATGGCATGAGTTTACAGTTGTTTGGTTTTTTGGAAGGTGTAGCCATTGTCCTCAGTAAGTTTGAGGAGAGTTCAGGGAGTAGTGGAATAGGTTTTAGGATGTGTATGTTAGGAGAGAATCCAAGTGAAACTAAGGAGTTGTGTTGCACGGGAGAAATAAAGAAGTTGGGGATTGGGAGACTGGGAGGGTTTCAGCTGAGTGGGAGGCGGAACCAGGAAACTGTGGAGGCATTTGGTCATGGAACGCTCCGATTTGAAGGTGTAGAAGGCATTGGACGGACAACTCGCAAAGTAGGAGGGTATTTTGTTGTGAAGAATCTCTTCAATATCTGTAATGTGAGAGTGTTTTGCAGATATTGGTTGTATCGAGTTATAGGTGCCACGTGGGAATTGATCAGATGAAGGGTCTTTCTGTTCACTCTCTAAAACCAAAAGTTAATTGGACAGTCTGAAAGAATCTTACCCAGCACGAATCTGTCTTCACAAACAGAGTGTTTTTGCTGCAGAAACAATGGAGGGTTGATTCACCTGCTTATCAAATTTATGAACGCATGTTAGACTTTTCTCTATCCTTAAGCCTTGGATTAACTAAGTAGGTGTTCGCTGCGGTTCTCGTAGTCTATGTGAGAAGCTTCGTCTTATTTAGACTATTATGCGATTCCTTATTAACGTTTTCGCTTGTGTGTATATACCTGTTCACATGTTCCATGTTCAATGAATAGCAGTGTTTGCCAATCTTGAACTTATGCTGAACAATATCTGTAAATCTAACTGAAGAAGTATAACACTGGTGAAATGTTGAGCGTTTGTCCAAAGGATACAGAATCAGAACGAGTTGTAATGAATTGTGAATACTACCTCTGATCATCTCTAATGCTGTATTTTTAACTCGTGGAAAGTATAGCAGGCTCGATTTAGCCTCCTTTTCTGTTTGTGCAGGATGCTCGCACGTTTCTCACATTCTCCTGAATGTGTTAATCGGCATTATCGAAATAGGGAGCAAATTCAGGTAAATCGAGTTCAAGCTCTCACGTTCTACGAGAAAAAAGAGGTGACAATGGGCCAATAAATGAATTGACCAATGGCAACCACAAGGAACCAGTTGTCACTCCGGGTTCCATGAATATTCAGTAAAAAAAAAAATATTGCATTTGTTAATGTTGTCAATAGTTTTAATGTTTGTATTATGCCGTTCTTATGCAGTATCCAATCATGAAAACTACACGTTATGCTCCTATTTCGGCAAGCGTAAGATGCCAGTGTCTGTTTTGCTTGGTTCACTGACCAGTTGAACTAAATCTTTATGATGTGAAACAGTTACTGCTCGTGATGAGGCCTCCTCTATTTGGAATAATTCGCCTGGCGTAAAATGCTTTCAACGCATTTAATTTCAACCACAACGCTGATTAGGTTTATTGCAATGTACCAACCAATCGAGACAACAGAGTCCTAACGTGAACAAAGGAAAAACTACAGTGGAGCTAGAACATCGCTAATCATGTATCTCCAAATGACTTCTCTTGCAGTAGACCAAGAGCTGTTATAGAAATTAACGAAGACGATCGGCTGTGTCTCTTTGTTGCGTCTCATGGACTCAAACCAACCTTTCCAACAAAGACCTTTGAACAACCTAATGAGTGCGCAAGCTTCATTCCAAATTCGAATTACATTATCTCATTCATTCATTCAATCCCTGCTAAGTAAGCATCTTGGAGATACACAGCTTTAAGACTGAGAAGATTTTAAGATCAATTCTCGAAACATGGCTGAAAAGTGCGTTGAGAAGGGCTGCGTTTCTGTGAGTACACATGCATCTGTCTAAACTACTGTAATGTAAGAAAATCCCATGTCATCACAAGAATCCTTATTTTTACACTGAAGTTATTATGTAAGGAATCTCTCGCATGACCAAACACAGATTAATTTCTCTGCTGCTTACATCTTAAAGCAAGTTGTCAAACTGAAGCTCCCCCAACTCAATTCGGTCTCCATTCCAGTTAAAGGGGAGAGAAGAACTTGAGGTTAAACTAAATATTACAGAGGTTGGTACTTCTGAGGGTGACATGGTCGACCTTACGGACAACTAACTATCTAAACACTTGAGCTTGGTTTTGTGCAAGTAGGCCAGTGAATTCAAGAAAAAAGCTTACCGTGATTACTTGTATTCAAGTGGAACCGTAGAATCTTTAACCCAAGGCAGTACCCTCCAACCATGATTTCATCATGTATCCACCCTTAATCAGTACTTAATAAGGATTTGTACCTGATGATTAGCAACGTAGCATCCTTGATTACAACGGTGTCTCCATCACAATAATCCCTCTCTTTCAATAATTCTAGAATACTCCATACTTCTGTCGGAAATTGTTGTCAAGTTTGATTTAACATGGGCATCTAAAGATAAACTCATCTTGCCAGATCACAAAATCCGAGTTCCAAGTACTAAAACCCTATTTATAATGGCAATAATCACGTCATACTACTTAATCTTCAAACGGCACTCCTGCAAGATTGTCAGCACACTAACAAATTCCACTGAGTTTGAGTTTTCAGTGTTGGTGATGCTTTACGAAACCCATAACAAACCAGAAAATGCTCTCGAGTAAGCACAACCTTCACAACATGTGATCCAAAAAAAAAAAAAAAAAAAAAAAAAAAAGGCTTAATAAAAAAATGATCAAATGAAGAAATAAATAACACATAGACCGACGCAGTTTCTACACTCTTAGAAAAGGAAAACTTGATCATAACACTTCACCATGTTGTAGTCTTCCACCGAAACCTTACACAGAAACTCTTGGTTTTCTTGCTGATTTTCCACGACGCCTGTAAAAGTGGAGTGTTGTGTTTTCTGCTAGATTCATACGCAAAGCTTTGGGAGGACCCACAATTGCAGATTTGGAGCAACTGAAGCAGGAGAAAGAGGCTCTGCAGACCATGCACGATGCTCTTGTGAAGCAACATGCGGAGACTTGTGAACAAGTGCCAGATCTCATTCCCTCTTCATGCACCATCACCCTTCCAAGTTTATGAAGTATTTGTTGTTGTAAGCATATATATATATGTGTGTGTGTGTGTGTGTGTGTGTGTGTGTAAGTTTGGTGTTTGAAATGAGATAACTACCACTACTACAACAACATTAACTGAAGCAAGATTACAACTGTGGCTATGGCTGATGATCTGAACCAGCTCCTGCTTTTGGCGGCCACCGAGGAAAACTCATCGGAGGCTAAATCTCCATCTGGAAAAACTAGTCAAAGAAAGAGTAAGAAGGGAAGCCTGCAAAAATGAAACATGGGTGAACTGTTTAGCATACCATTATATATATATATATATATATATATACATACATATGTTTGATTGTGTGTGTAATGAACATTTAGCAGTTCTTAGGATCTACAGACCAGTTCCAAGGATCATTTTTTAAAAACTTCACGAGTGATTTAAAGTGATTGTTAAACTCTGATCCCATGAATTTTAAATTTATCCGTATTGGAGGTCATGTTATTCAAAGAGTATGTATGTTTGGATAGTTGAGCAGTAAACAATAATTGTGTTCTGTGGTGTATGAAATTATATGTAAGAGTACGTGTTTTTATGTAGAAGCAAATTAATTGGTTCATGTTCGTGTTTGTTTGTTAAATCGAAGTTAACATGAAACTTGCCTTGTTTTCAGGTTTGATATAACAAATTATTTCATTTATTTACATGGTTTTCGTTTGAGAATTTGAGACTCCAGTGAAACACATTAGGAATATCATTGCATATCGATTAACTTCAAGTATTTCAATAGGTGCTGATGTAATTTTTCTGAAATAAAAATTCTGTGTTTTAAAAAATCAGTCAAATTATGTTTCTACGAATTTTTTAAGCAACTTCCAACTAAGTAAAGATTTTGGACTTGTTTGGCATCAATAAAAAAAAAAATACAAAATACAAAATACAAAAAAACAAAAAATTGAAAGAATTTTAATATATTGGCACATCTTTAAAAAAATAGATTAAAACTTCCTTTTGCCAAGTAAAACTTCCTTTTGCCAACATCAAGCACATGATTTCATCCATCCATCCATCCATCCATCCATCAATTCCATACTCTTGCTCTGGGTGCAATTTAATACCTCCACAATTCAATGATCAAATATTATGATCACCATTTTGAAAACCATCACTGTGTGGTCATAATGTGGCTGTAAAGTAATTCATTTTCATGTATAAAACTTACCCACATATGCAAATCAATACATAAATAAATAATGACATCTCCCATCTCCGTTCCTCGTAATTAAAGGAATGTGCCAGACTTAGCAATGTGGTGATTAATGAACACAAACATGTAAACTTTAAACCCCTAGAGCCCTGAGTGCTCATGTTGAAGTTTGATTAATTTCTCATGTCAATGCATTAATACACACACTTTAAATGAGTGCCATGGGAATTCAACAATGGAGCTAGAAATTGAGGCCCTGTAGTGGGTGGGGCACATCAATTGCAATCTTGCACATTGATAAACACACAAAAGATGTGCACATTGCATAGAATACAATTCAATTGTGCCTTTTGTTTTATGTCTTGAACTCCGTAAAAAAGTGTCACATTGTTGACTCCAATCACCACTTGGAATATGCAAAGTCTTGGCACCAATGTAAGTGCTCATGTTGAAGTTTTTTTTTTTTTTTTTTTTTTTTTTTTTTGGGACAAGTCTTCCCTTGCAATTTTACCACTAGGATGTCCTATGGGTGAATGTTTCCATGATTTTTTCATGGATGGATGTGACTCAACTTGTGGTATATTCATTTGTTTATTACTTAATGGCTTTGTGATTGGTGTTAAATTGTGGAGATTAATTGCAAGTATGAGGTAAGAGCAGTGGTTTGAATCTTGATCTTCAATCTGATTGATTGACTCTAAGTTTTTTTCATTTTTTTAAAATTTACATTTGAGCTTCTTTTTTAATAAATGTATTTTGGTTTTTTCCTATACTCTTTATATAACAATTAAAAAATTCTTTCATTATTTATTTCACAATACTTGACATAATCCATCAATGAAAATTTTACATGAATTAGTTGTTATTCCAAGTTATTATAAATTTTTATGCTAGTGTAGGTTTAAAAGCAATAATATACTAGTTGTTTATTTGATAGAAGTCCTTTACACTTAATATTTTTTGAAAAATAATTGGACAAGAAATTAATCAAAGTTTTACTAAAACAAGAAAACATATTTTTATATACTTCAGTTGTAAATAAATTAAAATTCTATTACATGCATAGGGTAGTTTTATTGAAAAAATAACAAAATAGTAATTATAATAATAATAATAATAAAATATTCCTAGTAGATCTAATATATTTATGAAAAATAAAATTTTGATTGTAGATAATATTTATATTTTAAACTCATAATTTTAGTTTTACAATTATCCATATGAATGTTTAATTCATATGAATTGTTATATCAAGGTTCTTTTAAAACTTAACATGCCTATTAGACATTTATCAGAAATATAGTGCATGTAACATGGTTAGAGGCCAATCCAATTTTGCTCCCTATTCTTTGGATGTTATTTAATTGTTGCCTAGTTGTTAAATATTATATTTGGTCATTAATTAATCCTTGCTTAAATTTTCACTTATATTCTTATTTTATTGTTGATTGGTCATTACAGACTTATATTTACATTTAATATTTTCAACATTTTAAATAAAAGTTAACTCTATTAATTGGTTTTTTAATAAATTGGTGTCCTTCGTGTGTGTTTGTGTTATATCAAAAAATAAACAACATAGTGAACAGTTTCATCAAACCTTTTAGAAGTGAACTAAATAATATAATTTTGCATTGGAGTTTTTAAAGACAAACAAAATTGAGAAAGATTATATCAATGCTTTTATAAATGAATGAAGTAACAATTGGCCTTTATCAAAATCAATTCATGCAGGGATAATAGTTGATCCGTTACAATAGAATAATTGAGGTGAAAATAAAATTAGAAATATGTCTATTGTGTTCTATGATGTTGCAATGTCACTAGTCACTATCTGGATGGAGACATCAAAAAGTGAGTTTTATCAATATGCATTGTTACAAAAAAGAATAGAAAAAAGACACATTTTGAACCTTGATGCTTAATGTTTACATGTTCCAATACATCTTACTCAGAATTTAATCTGTTTAATGCGCTCAATATACAATACAGCTTCTACATAGCAAATGAATTGTAGATCCTCTTAAATTACTTCAACTTTTTTGTTTCAAAGCACAAGAAATATTGTTTGACATTACTTTAATTGTGTAGACTGAGTTAGAAGAATTTACAGTGTCCCATTATTTTAATGCAGGCAAAGTAGAAGATCAGGTGATGTCAGTGTCAAGTGGCACACAGCTCCCCCATCTGGGTAGAATGCAAAAAGGTATGGACAAAACAACCACGATAGGGGCCTATCTACTGCGTAGGGTAGGGACCAAAAAGCAAGCTGAAGTGGCACCAGGCAAAACTGGGTGCAATCGCCAAGACACCAGCGACGACAGCCTGACATATCTGTCACTCCACCATCAACCCGTCACTGCATCTGTTACTACTACTTAGCATCACAAACACAAGCACGCTACTGCACATCTATCACAACCTCCACATGGGTTCATCATCCACGACAGGCCTAATGCTCTGCAAACTAACATGGACAAACGTACAAGCAAATAGCGAAGTACGTACTATGTTCGGATTACAGCACTGTAACTCGCAACCGAAAATATGCACCAAGTAATACCCAAAAAGGCGAATGGCATTCGACAATTTTAGTTTCACATTACACATCACGTCAACGACTGAGGGTCCTATAATCCTCAGAAATAAGTCAATGCAAGACACTGATGTACGGGACTATGCAGGTCAAGCGTATATAACAAGAGCAGCCACATCAATAACTCTTCACTACTTATCCCAGTTGCCGAGATAGTTCCACGTTAAGCAATTCACCAACATTCCAACCATCTGAAACACCTCCATTCAAACCAACGCCTAACACATACCAGCATGATTTAGAAATTCAACAAAATCAACACTAACACTCATCTGCAAGGTTTTTCCACAAACCCTGACAAATTCAAATAAGACCACATTCGTACTTCTACCGAGTTGACTAGGTCGCCACTCACACCAGGCCACAACAGAGTGGCCGATGCAGTCGGCCACACTACGACCCGCGATGCACAGCAACTGCAGGTGCTCACAAGTGCATCCACCACGTAATTCTAACAATCCATGCCACCAGCAACACAAAAAACGTCAAACACGGTCATCAAATTATACATACTATGAACCACAATGAACAGACAACATCCACGCGGATTGCAAAATCCTCTTCCGAGATCAATCCATCAGTCACATGCTAAAAAAAGTCAAAATCCACGTATGACCCTCCCGACGATTGAGTCGACACAGCAGTTGCTGATCTGTTGCTATTGCTCTTCTCGCCAGCCTTCAGACTACTGTCACTATTCTCCGCTACTGCATTGCCAGCTGTGCTTAGGGACTCTGCGCCGGGAACCACTTTCGCTCCTTTGCTGACAGATGTTTCCTCCGAAACCGTCGAACTGCTTACGGATGGCCCAGGTTCGAAGGGTCGGGGTACCTCTGGGGGATTTGTGCACCGTATGAGCGCCCAGTTTACGCCTGCAACTCACCCTCAAAACCACGTCAGAATACCACTACTCATAGCACGATTGAATGTGGAGCAAACTTCCAAACCACACCCACAACCACTCGCAAGTAGATCGACCACTCAAAAGCCTCCCAAAATACCTTCGAAGAATGGATGCGCCTTGATCTCGCCAGCTCCCCTCTTCGACGCCAGCCGCAGCACAGGCTCCTTCATCAAGAGCCCCCGGATCAGGTCTCGAGCTGCAAAGCTCACCTGCCCCGTCGCTGAATCCGGGAACTTCAGAGGTTGTCCAACCACGTTGAACAGAGTGGCTCGGTTCCCAGACCCCTTGAATGGAGTCTTCCCAAATAGCAGCTCGTACAAAAAGATGCCGAACGTCCACCAGTCCACTGCACTTCCGTGACCATCGCCTGTTTCAAACGGTAACGAAGAACACCATCAGACGAATCCCTACCACCGCCAAAAACTAACGCCACATTCCCACTTACTCGAACAATCACAACGCATCGCGGAAACACTCGCTTCTCACCTTTGATTATCTCGGGTGCTAGGTACTCGTGCGTTCCCACAAAAGACATGGACCGTGCCCCCGTCGGTTCTGCAATCAGCTCTGGCAATGACGAAACCTGGACCAATGACCATCCCAACTGAGCACACATCCTGCACGCACACCATCTAGAAAACCTTCTGGCAAGCTATCACAAATCAACCATTTTTTAACACCTCACTCAACCCACACGCGCACGCACCCACCACACTGCAATCCCACAAAACCGCCCCACGAACATGCACATCTCCACAGCACAATGGATGTCAATACTCACCGAATGTCCACAATCCGCTTTTGACTTGGATTTGCTCTTTCCCGGGCTAGGCTTCGGACTCTTCCCATCCTTCTTCTTCCTCGTGAAGCTGGGAAACAAGCTAGGCAGCGGCGATTTCACCACAAAACATGACGGAGTCGCGCACGACATTGCTCCAGGATGTGCGCAAGCCTGCACTCACAAACGCACTCCAAATCAGCCCCTCTATGCATGCACCCCATCCTCCCCACGTGTGGAAAACTCCACCGTGTCAGCTCCGAACCCGAATGCCCACTCTCAACCACATCAATCAGATCCCCGCTCACTACATACAATTTAGCCTCCCATACCGACATTAACACATCCTCGCTCACTGAAACACTTCCCACCCTTCACATACCGCTGGCCCCACAACGACTTACCTCAAATCCGCCCGTGCATGCTGGCTCGGCACAAGCCGCCGGCTGCATGCAGTATGCTCCAGAGCCCTTTCCATCCCGCGATTCGTGCACAGTTGATCTTACCAAAGTCGGACTCACCACGCACTTCAGAGAAAGATCAAAATCTGAAAGCATGATGTGCCCATCCTCCCGCACCAAAACGTTCTCTGGTTTCAAATCACGATAAACTACTCCCATCATGTGCAGGTACTCCAGCGCCAGAAGCACCTCGGCGGCATAAAACCTGCATACCACCAAACAGATACACCCACACCTAGTACCATCACGACGCAATCCTACATACGCTGCCACACATACGCACCACGGTGCGACCTAAACTACCAATCGTCACAACCTGTCACCCTTCTTCCACCATCCATCTCAACCGCCGCCCGCCCACATCCAACCTCAAGTTCAACCACACCGCACAACATGACAAGTACCTTGCCGCCTGCTCTGAGAAGTGCTTCCCAGGTTGCCTCTGTCGCAATGTATGCAGATCTCCACCAGAGCAAAACTCCATCACCAGGCACAGGAACTTCTCACTCTCAAAGTGCGTGTACAATGTAGGCAAGAACGGGTGGTCCAAAGACTGCAGGATCTCCCGCTCCGTCTGGGCTCGCAAAAGCTTCTTCCGGCTTGCAAGAGATCCTTTGTCCATCACCTACGATTAACCACAAACCCTTGCACTGAGTCCCCATAATGTCCTAAACCTTCCAGCAGGCCTTCCTATAGACCAGCGCCCTCACCTCCAAACAACGATAGTGCGCAAGACACACGCGGCTTGCCCATCCGCAACCCGATCAGGCACGAACGTCACCCACAAGAGCACCACACATTCAACTCATCACCTAAAATACGCTCTCTACTTCTCTGCGCCATAGGTGAACGGCGGCCCTCTCTGCTAATAACGCCATCACTGAACGTCCAGCAAGTATACTCAGATCTTCCGACTGTAACCACTGCACTCGTGCAAACCAGTACAAGGTACCGACCAGGTTTCAAACAATTTCAGCTATTGCCTACCATACCAACCTGCCGATCCAGAACCCAACACTTAGAAGACTACCCACTGCCATCACCTCATTGAGGGCGTCTGCAATCCAGATACTCTTGTTCCACCAATACTTCCAGCCCCAAAGAAAAACAAAGCGATTCCCATTTCGCAACCACCCCCGTCCTTTTAATGCACCAACCACAACTCTCACTACCTCCATCCTGGCTCCTGGATGTCCAAATTCTGCAAAAGCTGTGGTGCATACCTACACCCTCAAGCAAACACAGAGCACTGTGCCATCTAACCTGCAGGAATACAATTCACGAGGAATTCCTGAGCATTACCTTCATAGCGAAGTGGCTGTGGCCACCGCGAAGTTCAGCCAGGTACACGCTCCCAATGTCGCCACAGCCCAATCTCTTCAAAAGCTTGAAATGTGACAAGCCCAGAGCTCCATCTCTTATTCGAATTGCTTGAATCCCTTCCCACCTGCAAACGCCCCACAAACAACACATTGGATTCCCTTGGCACGCTCCTTCAACCATCATACGGATCGGCCATCCTGGCCTGCTCTTCCAATCCATAAGCAACAGGCACCATCCCAACACAGCATCATTCTTACACAAGTGACCATGTCACCTTAGAGGCACACTTACATCTCTCTAACTCAAGCCGGGAAGAACTTACCTCTTGTCATTTGCTTTGTGAGGCTTGCTCGCACCGTACCCAATACTGCTGCAAGAGCTCTCGTTCGAATCGCTCCCAGCACTTGCCCTGCTCATGCTCAACTTTCCACTGCTCCGCGCAGAATCCGTCTCCCTCGCAGAATCGACTCCGCTGGCTTGTTTATCCATGCCTTTCCCATCTTTACTCGCATACTTCCCCAGCTCCCTCTCGCTCTCCTTCTCAGACTCAGCCCTCGTCGATCTTTCTACCTCACACTCACCCATTGAATCACTTTCAACCCGTCGTGCATCCAACTCATTGCCACGATTCGGACCACCAGAGGAATCCCCACTCATGCTTCCACTTTCGCTACTAACCGGGAACTTCGATTCCTTGCGCTCCTCCAACACCCCCACCCGATTCGAGCGCGCACCGATTCCCAACTCCAGCTCCCGGCTCGCGATTGCTTCTTTCTCTGCACCTCCCCTCTCTCTGTCTCCAACGCTCTCTCGATCCTGCGAGCTCCCGTACGTGCTGCCACTCACGCTCGACTTGAACGACGACGAAGACAGATCGATCGATGACCCAGGACTCCGTGTCAAAGGAGTGTTGCTACCTGCTCCACTACCTTTCCCCAGAACCTCCCTTTCCACCCCCTTCCCGCCTGCAATGCTGCACAATGGTGTACAATTCAAGGGAGACGAGGACATCGATGCTGCGCATGTGGCATCCAGGATCTTGTTCGTCTCGGGGGGCGCCAAATCCCAGCTCCTTCCGAATGCCCTCTCACCACTCGCACCAAGCGCAGCGATACTATTCTTTCCAACCGAGCTCTTCTCGTAGCCTACTCTTCTCTCCGAGATCATCTTCTCCACTTCATGGCCTGCTCTAACAACCATCCCTCCACTGATGTCCTTCTGCGACCAAACAAGGACGCATCCTCCGCGCTCCGACTGTCATTGGGGCGCCATCTCCATCTGCCAACCCTGTCGACAACGAAAATCCTTGCCCTGTATCGTAAAATACTTTCTTTCCCCTCTTTTCTATATTTTTCCCCCCCTCCACTCTCTTTGTCCCACCCTGCCCAAAGTACGTCGCACTTCCTTCACTGCCACGTACGCTGATCCAGGTGTTCACAGGCAGCTCTACCGGAACTGATTACTCCACTCTGCTTTGCATCGATACAGACAAGTATGGTTTGAACTCACCGCAGCAGAGTTGTCTCGTACAATACTGTAGCACCCGCATTGTGGGTGATCGAAGCGACTAAAACAGTGGGTGCTTAATCATCACCATTTCAAGGGGGCTGTACGTAGCTTTACAAAGCTAGAAAACTTCGGGTTGACTATGCAGTTACGAGAGCTAAGCCTTGAAGCGCAACAGATTTCTACTCTGGTTCGAGAATGACTAACGAAGAGAAAGGAACGACACGGCATTGACGAACAAGTCTGCAATCTCCAAGCACATCAGATACCAACGTTTCCCATTCGAGCTGGAAGCGCTACTTCTTCACCTAGCAAGCTTCGCAGACGCCAAGCTACACTACTGTCACCACAGAAACCTTTCCCCGAGACTTCACAGACTAAAAGAAACTAAATCAAGCATTCAAAGAGCCCGCACTGCACAAAACCAGACGCATCTTCGCTGCAGCTTGACAGCAAATGGCACGAAATGCCAAGTTGCAACACAATCTCGGTGCTCGAGCATTCTGTCGGCGGTCGCCCGATCGAAGCGCTGTCGTCGCATGGCCGTGTTAGTGGGGCAAAGGCGCGCTAGGAGGTGTGGTCCGTGGGGAGGAGAAAAGGAGTCGAATTCTCCCCGCAAAGGGAGACACAGCCTTTGATCTTCATTAGTGCCTGGCGCGCCACCCAACTCCCTGAGCACCCGAGCAAGACAAAAACCAAATACGGTGCCCTCCCTCCGTCGTCGTAGATCAACGTACCCATGTCATAGTAGATCGCATTGGGCTGTCCATGAATTCACGCCGGCGTAGCGAGACTAAGAAGTACAAAAACCGAGGAGGAGTGATGACCCAATTAGGCATATACGTATACGATACCCACGATTATCAAAGAAAATGTTCACAGCACCTCGCAACATCCAAGGAGCGGTTTGAATCCCCCCCCCGCTATGGTTAAAGCATGCGAGGAGGAGGCAGGACAGCCAGGTGCGCGAGAGCTTTATTTCCAAATAACTTTACATGCACTGGGTGGTCGCATGGAGTTAAAACCCATGCGACGCAGAAGCTTCGACGACGACGATGCAACAACACTGTCACTCACCATTTCCACAACGCAGAGTTACCACATACTTTTTGCCCACCCCCCCCCGCTTCTGCACGTCTGTCGAACGGATGAACGCCGTTTATGGATGAATGACGTTCTCATCTTCGTTCATTCAGAACAATGAGCGGGCCGTCTGAGTTTGATGCCGCTGCCCGTTTCTGCCCTTGCCTCCGCCCTTGCTGCCCGGCCTCATATTAGGGTTTAGTATAATCAGGGGTTTTGCCATGGTTTTGATTAGTTGGTTCTGCTACTAAAGGGTGTAAAAAACAGAACATGTGTGGGAGAACAAAGTGTGGAGAAGGATAACTTAATTAGTGTGTGCCATGGTGTAATTCATTGGAGAACGTTACAAGCTAAAAGGAAAGGAGGATGATTTGCTTAATTTAAAGAGAGAATGATAAGAAAGGCATCGTGGGTGGATAGAGCACCTCAATGTCTCCCTTATTTTATTTTATTTTTCATATTCTGCTGCTCCTTAAATATTTGTTGAGATGATGAAAAAATAATTAAACTATGTCAAAATTTAAATGATAAATAAACAATCCATCAAATTACATCAAACCATATCAAATGGAATTGAATTGAATTGAATAAAAATATATCACAAAAAAAGAATACAATAAATTATTTTTTCCATTAACCAAAAAATATCTAATGTAATAATTGATTGCTTTATCCAAAATAAAAATAAAATACATAATAGCCCAGAATACATCACATAGAAAAATACTTAACTTTTTCAAATATGCACCACTTGTTCCAGTTTATTCAAAAATAAAATTTCACAACATATACATAATAAATAAAAAGTTTAAAAATTACAAAATTCTTTATATTTTACTGAAAGCAAAAAAGAGTGAAAGGGTTCATTTTAATGAAAAAATCATTCCAAATGGTTTTTAAAATAATTCACTATTGCAACTTCAAATCTACATAAGTTTTATTCTAATATTGTATTTTGATTATTAAAAAGGAAAATAAATCAAGATAGGTTCAACAAGGCTAGTAATTTAATTTTCATTTAAAATGAAAATAATTAGTTTTAATATTTCTATTAAAATAAAATTATATAAAATAATATATTTTGCACAACATATTGAGTGACTAAAGCATTTCTTTGTCCCATTAATGAAAATATCTCGATTAACATTAAAAGAGAAAATAACATAGAGATGCATTTGTTATTATCTTAGTTATAATAGCTTATACTTTAGAAAATGAGTATTATGAGATAAATGAAAAATTTAGAAAAAGTGAAATTATTAGAAAATAATATATCAATATTTATAATAAAAAAATCACACATGATATTTTTTTAAATACACACAAATAAATTTTACTCTATTTAACATAATCCTAATGAATAAATAGATTTGGATGTATTAAAAAAATAAACCGAACTATCACCATGATTTATATCCGCATATAATTTTAATTTTAAATAAAAATTAAGAAAATATACACATCTCCTTCCTTTGGTTTATTTATTTATTTATTTTGATTTTAATATTTTAGCCATCAACCAGCGTCTTGTCGGGCAGAGAGAGCGGGCACCAAGCCCGATGCCAGGCCGACCTCTGGATGGACGTCCCACTAAAGTCCATCTACTACATCCATCCATAAACATCCATTCACTGATCATCCGTAAGATCATTCTTCCGTCATGGAGGACATCCATCCATGTGGCAGGGGGACGATGTCCTTCTTCCCTTCGCCCTTCTTCCCGCCTCGGAAAGACCGTTAGCAAGGGTGAAGATTCAGCATTCACGCGACGTAATAATCTGCGTTACTCTTACTCTGCTTTGTCACATTGTACTTGGGACAGAAATTCGCTGTGAAGCAATTTGCTGCTGGTTAGACGTCGCCCACCACCACCACCGCCGCTAGGCCGTGATGGTCCCTGCCGGACCCATCTCCCCCCTTCAACACTGCTGATGCTTCTTGACTTGACCAGAAGCTGTGGCATTCCCACACCATCTGCATCAGTCAGACTGTTGCCACCCATTCTGTACACCTCCTCTTCGCTTCGTCTCACGTTAGAATTCTTCTTGCAGTTCCGTCTCTCGAATACCCACAACGTGTTTCCGTCATTCCAGGAGTTGAGAAGCTGCGTATTCCGGTGTCGGGAAGGAGAATCTACTCCCCCATAGGAATTACTCAAAGTTCCCTTGCTCATCGTTACTTGAACGTTCCTGCCATGACCTTTACGTGCGCACCAGATCCCCCCCCTTCCCGCGATGCAGTTGGAGGTATGTTCTGAGAGTGCGCTGCGAGACATCTTCTGCGATTGCAAAAAAGGCAGGATGTGTGAAGATTGTTCAGCATTTTAATCTGGTTGTTGGAGCGAGGGAGGAAGACATATGCAGAGACTTAGAATAGAGAGGTACCAGAAACTGGATCTGTTTTAAGATGTAACCTCGCTGAGTAGGGGTTTAGGGTGTTAGGGGCACCTTGGGCATCTTGGGTGCATTTGTGATTGCTGCTGAGAGATGTTCACTTTTGAGCAGGCAAGGAGAACAAAGATCATCGATCCCATCGAGAATGACCCTTGAGTTTTATAGTTTGGGACCCAGATCCTCTCCATTTTCAATTGATTCGAGCATAGCTTCGTTGGAAATCTTGCTGCATCGTATGAGTGGCGATTGCGTGACTGTGGTTTTAGCTCATTAAATGGAAACGCTAGATTATTGAATCAAGACAATGTTAAGTGTTTGTGGGGTAGGGCCAATTAGCACAACGGCTATGGACTGCACTGCTGGGAGTTGAAAAGTAGGTGGTGAATTTCTAGCTCCAATTGTAGCATAGACGATGTGGTGAAGTAATTTGCATTCTGGTGTTCAGTTTGAGTTGCTTCTTTTCAGGGCGCTACGATGAGTTTGAAAGGGCTCAAAGAAGTGGTTGATAGTATGTAGCGATAAGATTATTGGAATTTCTAGAATTTCTCCTGCACGTCAACACAGTATTTCTTACATTCTTTTTAGTTACTGTTGATTGCCTGCGGCAAGGGTTGTGAGTAGGCAGTCGAATGCTACCTATGGTGCGGCTTTGGGTTGGAAATAAGGATATGAACGGAAATTATCCCGGCTGGATAAATTGAGTTCCCCGTAGTAAATAAGAACATACTTAGTCTCCACCGGCAGCTCCGACTTCAGCTATCGAGGTACCTGACAATATAGAAGCTGCTATTCCACTTCCACAGACCAGAGTCTCCAAGTATTTTGCTTGTATATGAGAAAGCTGGCATGGAACCCATTTCAAACGAATGGTCCTTCGTATATCATGTTAAAACTCTTTTAGCTGATTGCGCATCCATCGGTTCTAGCAATGTATACTGTACTATAGGTTCCTCCTCTCAGTTAAACCCAATCATACATAATCTGCACATGTGAACTGCTTCATTCATATTCTTATTTGTTGGTGTACAGGAGCACTACTGGACCCTCTTCTTTCGAGATATTTACTGATGGTGATTGATGAGGCTCATGAAAGGATCATCTTCTCAGGATGTATTGTTTGGTCTGCTCAAAGAAGTCCAGAAGAGAAGGCAGGCAGAGAGCCTAACCTTTTCTTCCTCAAAGAAGAATGCAGCGACAACTGGAGAAGCATTAAAAGATCTACAGAATCTGATAGCACATAATTAAAATCCCTGCCGAATTAAAAATCGAGCTTTTGAAGTTAATGATAATGTCTGCCTTGTGTACACATAAGATTTCTGTGGGTACTTCAGTGGAGCAGAGGTGATGTATGCACAACGTCGTCTGTTTCCTGTGGGTAATTTTTATACCTTCACACACCAGCAGTCGATTAAATAGTTGCTATTCTCCTCAGTGTAATTTTATGTTCACTGGGTAGAATCAGTAGAAAACTTTTTTTCCCTCTTCATAGGACAAGAAAATATTGACTCAATGAAGCTGCTTTTGGAGGGAGGCGGTTCTCGATTTGTCTTCGGCTGTCCTTGAGCTATTGGCTGTCCCTATCTATGCTGCTCTTCTCAGTGAGCAACAAAGGCGTGTATTCCAGCCCGCTCCTGAAGGAACACGAAAGTTATGTCTGATAAGTATGCAACAAGTTTTTCTCTGAAATAATTAGAAGGAAAGAGACTCTTCTTTGTAGTTCTGGCTGCAACATACTGATCCGAGTGGTACTGGCCCTTTCACATAACATTGGCAACGTAGTATTGCAGAGACATCACTTACAGTTCTACCCAGCAGGTACATGATAGACCCCGGCCTGGTGAAGGCAACAGCGTGCAACTCACGAGCTGGGGTGGAGCCAATGGAGGTCGTGCCAGTATCGAAAGCTCAGGCTCAACAACGCTGGTAAGCAAGCACTTATAATCTGGACTGTTTTTTTCATTGCAATTTGAAGTCTGAAGAAAGAATCGCAAGAAACTGTGGAGATATTCAATATTGTCAATTCTCTTGTTGAACTCGCAAGGTATTTGTTTAGGTGAGGACAAGATGTTGAAGGCGTGTATCATCCCATAGCTTGACGTTTTTAGAGTGTCTTCGTGATTATTGGCTAACTATGAGGTAGAAGATCCGTGTTTGCCAGATTGTAGACGTGCTTGTGCAAATTTTTTTTGTCGTGAAGCGGGGACACACTTAATCGCTCTTTTATCAATGGATAGTTTTGTAAACCTGGTTACTTACCTCTATGACTTCAGCATATAATTTTTTTTATCTGAGTTAAAGCAGTCGTACTGCAGGATGGGGAGGACCAGCAAAGTGGTTTTGGTTGTACACAGAAGATACATCCAGAAAGTTGGAAGATACCACTGTCCCCGAGATTCAACACTGCAATTTGGTAAACGTCGTTTCGCAGCTCAAGGCCTATAGTCGGATTTGTTTTTATATACCAGCCTTCCGTGTCGACCGTTTTCCGCAGGACAGCCGATTCTGACTGGTGTGTATTTGTGAAGATTATCACTATTGTTTGAGCTGGAAAGAGTACTCTCACACAAATTTTCATTTATCCTGCACAAGTCAGTTCTTCTACTTCACTCTTTGCGTTAGATTTTCTGTGAGATATTAGAACTACCTTAGCCAAGAGCAATCTTCGTATTTGTGAACTTCAGGGCATCTATTGTGATGTTATCGGAGCATATGTACAGTCTTGTAGCTCTGGCCAACGAGGACAAGCTCTCAGATCCAATTGAAATGAAGATGGTTCGGTTCTCTCTGAAACCTTTTTACCCTGTGAGATGAAATGTATTGAAGAAAGTTTTGCTAGTGTTCATGATGTCGGTTTTTTTATGCTCTACATTATATCTTTCAGGAGACAGTACAGGTCAACTCCCCTCTGCCCCTCTCGAGTACTTCAGTTTCCTTCTGGAGTATTTGCAGCGGAGGGATTTTATGTTCATTGACATTCCAACACAATCTCTTCTTTGTCTCTCTTTTGAGCAAACAAGGTTCTAAAGCGATTGGTGGTGGCGGATGTGGATCATTTCACCTATATTTATGTCCTGCGTCACTACATCGAAGAAGCAGAACAGGCAGAGGGCGTTGGCAGGTGAGGCAGTAGGCACCAGTAGGAATCCAGGTTCAATCGAAACGACCAGTCGACTTCTAGAAATATGAATCCTCAGGCCATGTTTCAGATAAGAAATCCTTACAGAGCTTAAGTTATACAGGTTTCAGGCATTCTCTCCTGTATTCACCATTAGACGGAAGTGCAAATTAAATATGATCCTCAAACCATGTTTGTCATCCTGTCTTTTACTTACAGGGACGTACTAGGCGATGTGGACAGCATGGGGTTTCGTTTCGTCGTTGTCTTGTTGCTTCTTTCTGTCTAATTGCTGCTCGACTGCAGCTGGACAGAACCCACAGGTAATAATCAGCTAAGTCTACTGGAATCATATCTAAGGTCTCCTTTGTTATTTCCCGATCCTCTGCACACGACCTTGCAGCAAACGGTTCCTGTGTGGTATTTAACGAGCTTGTGCAAGAGTCACATTGGAGAAACTAAGTAGCTGGACAGATATACAGAACACTTGAACCTCATTAGAGTACAGGAGTATTGAATTTCCTAGCAAGATTTCATCGTTGATTTTCTACCTTGTTCACGTTCATCCATAGAGCAGAAGTAGTACGTACTGGAAGAGTTAGTGTTCCTTCTTATCCGCACAGATTGCCATTTAGATCATCACAATAATGCATATGCGGCACAGAACAGATTGCTTCAGTATGGATTTGTACTCACCTGCACAAGAGTACCTTCAATTCTAATTGAACCTTACTCTTCTGCAACAATATTTGTCAATTTCAATCAAAGCAATATTATTTGAATTTAAATGATTACGACAAGTAAGGTAGAAATTAGAAATCATCGGTATTTGAAGAATTTGAATCGCATCCACGTAGTTAATACTTGTATATATTTTTAATGAATTGAAACTGTCCTTTAATGAACATATTGCCTCCACTGTTAATTGAAAACATTTTTTGTGTTGTAAAGAATTTTGTTTCACTGGATGGAAGCATTGTCTTGATTTTGTTGAAGCAATTCCCCATCACTGTAATTGATTCACGCACACAGTGCCAAAATTACCTAAAAAAGTCCGTGTATATAGGACTGACGGCACATAAAACAAATACCGGTAAAACAAATACCGGTAAAACAAATACCGATACGACGCAGGCGCAGATACGTTGCCTGCGGCGGTTCTGCACCCATCGCGCAATTCCAGCTGCAACTGCTCACGAGCCCCATCAAACGCCGAATTAAACCAGCGAGGATCAATTCGCACGCTTTAACCCGTTGATTTCGTTGTGCAGAAACGCCAATTCCAATTCCATACAAATACACATCAACTCACCGCGGCGACAATCACGCACTCAGCATCGGGAGGGTGCACAGATCAATTCCTCCACTTACTGCTGTTTGCCCCGAAGTTGATCGAGATCTCTTCCCCCATCGTGACAGATTTTTCTGACCTTGGTTGCTTAATTTCGTCAACTAGATCTGGACGATGCGATGCCAGGATCCTTGAAATCGACCTCAGACTTGGCTCCCGGCACCGCGTGGTCCGCAGTGGCCATCATTCCAGATCGCATATCTTCGAACCAGCGTCGACTTCGTTGTCGTAACGTGGGCTTTCGCCTCATCATGCTCGTCCAGGTCCATAGAATCGCTGATTGTCAGGCAAGCAGTCGGGTTGGTACTCTAGAAAGGGGTGCTGGAATGCGTTGCAGGTGTGATTTGTCTCCCTGCACTCGACCAGTGATGCGGGAAGCAGACAGGGCTTGAGCTGCAGGATTGCGATGTCTCACTCACATCGATACTACCTGCAGCTTTGTCGACGATAGTTCTCATGTTATGCAACCAGGTAGTCACTTCATAAGGATCACCAACGTAGATGCATTTGGTGCTTTCAACGTTTTCGTTCACGAGCTTGTCTCTGACAGGTGCTGTGTTCTGCGACTGGCATCACTTAACATCGCTGTTTATAACTGCATTCGAGATTCTTGGTCGGGGAGTGTTTAGATTGAGATCACCATCAGCTCCAGATGGGCCGTGACGAAGCAGTGCATTCCAATCTGTATTGATCTCATTTTGCACAAGACTGGGAGCTAGGAGTTTACGGTTCGCTCCGTAATCTAAGGGTCTGTGTTTACCTACCGTAAGATACTTTCTTCCACTGAAGTACAAACCAAGCATCCACTCTTTCCTACAATGATTATGTCGACAATAAACAATTTCATGCGATTCACAGATGTTAAACGACCACTACAGTGATTATGTCGACAATAAACAATTTCTTGCGATTCATAGATACTGTGGCTCAACGTGACTAAGGATGTGACGCTTTCTGAAATGTTTTATCGATCAGAAACTTGAAGAGAACAACCCTTATTTTCCATGCTACAGTAAATTTTTACAATGGATCGTGATTTAGGTTTTTAGAAACAGAGCCAGAGTTTATCACAATGTGATATGCTCAAGTGCTAACGGCAAACGTCACCACATTGCCCGGTATCATGCTCTACTCTCATCACCACTGGATTTATACCATTGTCCATTCCTTGCTTTCCCTCGCTTTATTCATCATCCTTCTGCACTCGTTATCCTCGTTTAAAACCATAAGCCTTCCTCTCCCCACCGTCCTCAGTCACTTTTCTCAAAAACCCATCTCACCCAAACTCACACGATGTCTTTAGATTTCGCACTCTCGGCAATCCAGCTCCCAGGCCTCTAAAAACCTTCCCGAAAGACCTAACGTGCAAAACCAATGTACTACGAATAAAAAACACCTCAACTGCTGATCAAATACCTGCTCCTCCTCCTCTGACTGTCAGCCAATCACAAGCAAGCATCACTAGGGGACATTTAAAACAAGGCAACCACACACGAACGACATTGATCAAATTGGGCGGACACCATCAGCATGATTTGCTATCTTCTGTTGAGTCGAAATGTGTCTTTCTCTCCTTATGCACACCACTGCAGCCTCATTCAATATCTATTCCATTAATTAATAAACTTCGTTTCTGTTGATTCGCAGCTCATCCAAGCGGTAGCTTGCAGAGTGGCAGATTTTGAACTTTGGGCATATTAACTCTCGCGTTCCGAATTCCAGACCAATAGCTTGCAGAGTTTGAGTTTGCAGGAAGATCCCTTCATTTACTGCAGTGTCCGCAAAAGTGTTTAATTCTCATCGTTTATACATAATAGTGCTGAGCTTTGGAATGCATTCAAGAAGGTGGGGCGTTTGAGGACGCATCACGAAACTTCCTTTTACGCTACCACGCTGACATGCATCTTATTATCACGCAATGTGACAATGATCTTCAATGGTCTCGAGGAAGTTCTATTGTCGAGATTTTAGTGAATGTGGTAGTACGTTGAATGACTTCCTTACTGTAGAATTGATGCAGATTTACCGATTGAAGCGTGTGTTACATACTCATAACATTGCAGAGTTGAATGAGGACTGTACTACATTGCAAGGGCATGAATTCCCTGTGTGTTCTACGAACACGAAGGGAGGGCCCAATCTTGCTGCATCTCACCGCAGAAAATGGACGTCACCATCCCTAGCTTGACTCTTTCCACCCCTGTCAGAGGTACACACTGCTGCAACGAGCTGCGGATGAGTGTTACGGAAGTTTGTAGAGGAAGACAGCAGTAGAGGACGGTCTCGATGGCTTACGACCCAAGGGTAATATGCTTCTTATATTCTACACACCTTGCTTTCGGAGCCCTGAAAATCATATCCTACGATTGGTAGAATGTTGCATAATTCGACCCAATTTCACCTTGTTTTGTAGCATTACAGTATTTTTGAACACGTCGTAGCAAGAGCCTGTCTATGGTCGCAGATCTCGAAGTTAATGCTTCACTATGTAAGTTAACAATGACTTAATGATTGTCATCCGGAACATCATTTCTATCGTGATGAACACAACTCATTGCGCATCGAAGTAGAAGTTCCTACCTTTTAAGATGGGACGAGTGAACTCGCAGAATAATGAACTATCATATCATGTTCGTCCTACAGATGTTGCGAGTATTGGTTCAAAGGATGATGCAAACACGACCATGACACGTGCAGAAGGAACTCCTGACCAAACTTCACGCTATGGTTACCTGCATGAGTTCCACAACGGGGTATTGCAGACGATCTGTGCTGCACACGCAGACTTTGTTCTGATTGATTTGGAAACATCTGCTCCTGATTGGAAGAGATGTGTGAAAGTTTGATCGTGTAACAGCAAGCCAAACTTTTGGTGCGCTTGATCCTTCGCCAACGCAGTTAGAGCTTGCACATCTTGGATTTTGAGACTCCCTCGAGGTAGAGAAAATTGGCGTGCTTCTCAGAGCCCCAGATTGTCATATCTTGAAGAGTTTATACTTTTAGGGTTGCAAGATCAAAACTGCGTTAAATGAGCTGTTGAACAAGGAAGAACGATGAGCCATAAAATGGAAAGACAGACCATCTTTCATAACTGCTCATCCACACCTACGAGTTCATTTACCTTCTCCACGGACTGTTCGGAATATCCCACCAGAAAATCCATATCCAAAAAACCCATTTCGAAAACATTGAACTCCCGGCATAATGAATGGGATTACATGACAGGAACTTTAAGAATTTCATGCTTCATTCTTACAAGACGATCTCGAAAACTGGGGGGATTAGAGACTCGGAACGCTTGACCACGAAAAACTTGACTTGCACCCACACAACTGCCACTGCTGTGATAGTATTTGGGTCACGAGTCAATGCTCAATCAGTACTCTAATCGATTGTTATCTCTCCAGGCGAGATGTAACAGCTCCAAAACCCTTCTTCCTCTCCACGACTTCATCACCATGACGACTCCATGCTAGCAATCGTTCATCCATATTCCTTGGAATCTGAGCTTGATTTTCTAAGAAACGGATGAAACCCACACACTCTGATCCGAGCAGCATCTCTCCCTCGTGTTGAAAGAGTTCTTTTGAACGAGTATTGCAGATTACTGTGCATAATCCAAGTTAGGGTTCCAATCTCATCTGACGAGAGAGTCCCATTGATGGTGATCACGCTCTAGTTCAATTACGAAGGTGTTTAATTGGGGCATGTGTACACCCAGCTTCTATATTTTTCTTTCACGATTTTAAATGTTGACCTGTCACGTTTACAGAATTAGGGTTCGGATGCTGTTGGGTTGTTACGTAGTTGATGGTGATTGAGTAGGTTTGGGTCGTATAATTCCTATTTTTCAAATCATAATGATTTGTTTTGTTTTGTTTTTTTTTTCGTTTTTCTCTGTTCTCTTGCCTTGTGAGAGTTGTATGCGAGTAATTATGTTGAAGTGACGGTGATTCCTATTGTTTGAATTCAAGTTATAGACTCGTAGCTATGGCAGACGGCGACAACAATGAGTCTCCCCAGTCGCACCACGACTTGCCCCTTTACAAGCAGGGCGCCGAAGCTGTAAGCTCATCATACTGTTTTTCATGATGTTCATATTGTTCTCTTTACATTTTCTTTGGTGGCCGCATTGTCGGACGATTCCAGAGTGATGAACTTTGTGTGACGCGGCTGTGACTATGTGCGGTAACATCAGCGTGTATACGAGAGCACATTTTTGGGAAAGAGAGCGATTGTCAAGGAGCGGTTCTCGAAAAAGTATCGACACCCCGTACTGGATGTGAAGCTCACTCAGAAGCGTCTTACTGGGGTATGTCCCTAGAACTTTAGGGTTTCGGGAACAGGAATTGAGGCCATCAGCCAGTCCAGTGCAAGTCGCATTCGATGATTCATCTGTGCAGAATAATAAAACACGATGGAACCTTTTTAAGAATTCTATTTCCTCTCATCCTTTCAACGTTCTTTACAAGATACTGAGATTTATGAGGCTTGGTCGACCTTCACATGTTGCAAACAATATTGGTTTTGCAGGGCTCTAATGTCCAGTCTGAATTGAGCGGAGGGGAGAAGGAGTGTTCGACGATATCTTGGCTCTTCTTGACCTCATAGTTGTGTTGTGTCTTTGCAGGAGGCCCGCACTTTAACAAAGGCACGCAAACTAGGGGTCGTGACTCCGGCATTGTACGCGGTGAACCTGATGACCAATTCGTTAACGTTCGAATTTGTTGAAGGGCCTTTGGTGAAGGATATCTTGCTGCGGTCGGGACCTCTTCCAACTTCTGGTATGGTAGTACTTTTAGACACAATCAGTGAATGTGCAGTTCTTTTCTTTTTGATTCTCACTTTTCTCCTTTTTTTTTTCCCGTCTTCTTTTGGGGTATGGAGACTGCGTAGTGATAACCATGTGGATGTCTGCAGATGATAAAATAGAGGAATTAGCAGGCCACATTGGCCGAGCAATCGCCAAATTGCACGATGGGGGCCTCATACATGGAGACTTGACCACCTCCAACATGATCGTTTGTGCCAAAACTAACCGACTGGTAACTAGTTTCACTATTGTCTAAATACCCATATATCTATGCTCAAAAAAATTCAGGTGAAGGTATAGACGTCGTGCAGACAGTGAGATCTGTGAAAAGGTTCGTCTTACTGGATGTAGATTTGGTAAATTTCTTAGAAGTCTCGAAACTAGATTGTTCACATAAAACACGTGTAGGTATTGATTCTCTCAAACTTTATAGCCTAATTCCTAAATGTCTAGTTGCAAACTTTTTCACAGAAGAATTTACTAACTTAGTCACGTTGGACGTTTAAGAGTTAACCCCAGACGTTGTGAGTTGAAGCAAATAGGTTACGCATCTTTGCAAGTCCCGATTGTTCTCTTTGGAATGGCCTGGTGACCGGTTATGGGTGTCAGTTTTATTTCTCATGTGCCTAGCGTTCCAGGTTTAGGTTTAGGGTTTTAGGGTACAGAAATTGAGGCAGAGGCTTTCTTGAAAAGATCGAATCTTGAGTTAATCTTGTACATGGCTTTGATGGGCAGGTTCTCATCGATTTCGGTTTGGGTTATAATTCAACACTGCCAGAAGATAAGGCGGTAGATCTATATGTGCTTGAACGTGCATGTGTTGCCATGCATTCATCTGTTGGGGATTTTGTGAGTGCTCAACTTTATTTTTTCTCTTGAACTTATCAGTTGTTACCTGCTATGAAGGTTTATAGCGTAATGTAATAGTTCTGGCTCTTTTTCTTCTCTTAGATAGGTATACCTTGGTTTTTTACACAGCTCATTATACCAATCGAAGTTCAATTAAAGCTTGTATGTTTACAACTTCATGCCAAGTTTCACAATGCTGATTTTCAATTCTAACAATTACATATCAATCTTCTGTTGGTGTATTCTTTATGCTCAATCTTGCAAGAATTCCTACGACATTTGACGTTTAAATTTTCCTTGGAATCTTGCAGAATGGACTCATATTAGCAGCATACAACAAAGCTTCCAAGTATTGGAGTTCTACTTACAACAAACTTGCTGCTGGTAAGCTCCTCTCCTATCGATAACATGTCATTTAACAGAAAGATTCATGTAGATATGTACCACGCTCAGCAATCTTTGATTCCTATTTTGTATTTGTGTTCACTCGGCAGAAAAAAAATGAAATAAAAGAAAGGAAATGAGAATAGATAGAAAGAAAGAAAGAAAAGAAGAGAAAAGAAGAGACTAACTCACTCTGCAATCCTAGGTTAGTGAATGTAAGTTAGTAGACTCTTCCTCCACTGTGCACAACCAAGTCAGTCTCATACCTTCGTATGTAAGAATACTAGCGAAGAAGCCTTTATTGGTTACTTGCTATACAATCAGTTCAAGAGAGTAATAGCAGAGCTTGTGTTTTTATTTTGCAGTGCGTTTACGGGGAAGAAAGCGAGTCATGGTTGGCTAAGCCCATGTTTAGGGAAGAGAAAGTAGCTGCTTTGCTGATATGAAATAAGTCGCTCTAATTTCGTTGAAGGTTTATTACTCAGTCTGTACATTACACCAATATCATTCACGGCCATTGGCCTCTCTTGCAAGGCCTTTTATGCTTTCTTGCACAGGAAGAGAAATCAGCGGGTTTTTTGAATTGCAGTTGGGGTCTCAAGTTTTTAGCTTAATGAATCTGGCAGGCACCATTGTAGCCCATTACTATCTCTTGGGACAACTTTCACTCGCTTCTAACTTACTCATGAGATTTTTGTAATATTGCTTACTAATCAATGGGTCCATCATCAAATTCAAAAAATATTATTATTTTAACTCACGTACATAAACTTGGCGACCAAAAAGAAAGCTACAGTAGCTTTCGAATTCAACCAATATCAAGATACATACATGTATTAGACATTATTGAACATGAAGAAAGAATTTGAAAGCAATCTTTGTGAAGTTTTTCTTATTGGATAAGTTTATCTTTTCAGTTTTTTAAAAAATTACTGTCTAGATTAATATTTAGCTAATCTGAATGAAAGAATTTAATTGATGAAAGGAATTCCAGTATTGTTTAGCTTTTTAAATAAAAAAATCGACCAGCCTATGTTTGGCTGGTGAGTCAAAAATCACATTGGCTAGAGCATTAGGGTGGTAAAACCCAATTACTGCCAAATTACTTGGTTATTGGGATTAGAAGATGGGATGGCTAAGACGGGACAGGCTGGGTTGACAGTGGCAACATTAGCACAAATGAAGCCGACCTGCACATGGTTGACGTGGTGCCGTTTTTTTTGTTTTTTTGTTTTTTTTAATCGCAGTAAGGGGCACTAATTGTGTTTTTGTGTTTTTTTTTTTGTATTTTTTGTGTTATTTATTTATTTATTTATTTATTTATATTTATTTTTATTTTTAAATTTTAATTGGCTGCCAATGTTGGCTGACAACATTGACAAAGCTATTGGTTTAACCACTAGTTTTGTTATAAATTTTTTGTCCAAGGAGTATGATGCAATTTAACAAACATTTTTTAGAGATCATAAATCATTCACTTATTTGGGACTAAAAGCAAAAATTTGAAGTGAAGAACTTTTCAAAGAACAGAGCTTTGAAAGAAATATTAAAATTATAACAAAAGATAAGATAGTATAAGACATGCTTTAATGTAAAATAATATAAGAAGATGACACTCTAAAGGATCAAATACAAGCATTCAACATAATAGAAGGTTTGATGGTATTTAATTTAAAATTTAAAAATTCTAAAAAATAGACTATTAATTTAAAATATATATTATTAGAAACTCTTACCAAAAAAAATACTTGTAATTAAAAACAAGATAATAACTATTAAAATATAGAATTGCTAATACAATTTATTTTTTTATTCTAAGGCCATATTTCATTTTAGTAATGTTAATAATTTAAATTGAAATAAAATTCTACATAGATGCAAATCAATAGTTTGTAATCAATGAGTATTTTTTTAATACAAAAAAAAGATATACCTAATGTATTAATAGAGTAGAAAAATTACAACAAACTAAATGTCTTATATCTTAAGGTTAAGGTAAGAGTATTAAGAACAAAAACCAATTTTAAAGTTAGTTCATTTATACTTTTGTATATGATCACACCACATTAAGTTATAGTAGAATTTTGTTTAATTACTTTGTCATTTCTAGAAACTAGTATTTGTCAAGGCATTCTTGAGTTATTCAATCTCTTAAGCTTGGAAGACTCATGTTGTAGGTGTTTTGCTAATTTCTTTTAGACAAATTTCTAAGAAATTTATCCATATGCAATAGGACTTCTTCAAACTTGGCTTCTAATGTATTTTATATTTTATTTTCAAAGATGAATTTGTTTCTTTGAATCCAAATACTCTATAGACAAAGATCCTTAAATAAAGACAAAATCTTGCAAAAACATTTGAATTTAAAAAAGAAGGTTGTAGCAAAAATGAGCTGTAGTTAAATGAAAAGTTCTAAAGACTTCAATTCCATAAATTGGAAGTTTTCTTATATAAAAGAAAAATAGCCCAATTCCAAATATATTGAGCTTGATGACAATCTTAAAACCAATGGAAGATAGATACAAGCATTTGGAATTGGTACATTATACAATGAATACCAATGTTAAGATTGATTTTTTTTTTTTTTTTTTTTTTTTTTTTTTTTCTCAAAGTATTGATAGCTACACCTTTGTACCATTAAGCTATATAAACATAACCTCTTTATATGAATGGGAGTTGGATCAAGTATCTTTCTAATCAAATGAAAAGTCCTAATCAATGTAAGTCTTTTATTTGTGTGCCACTAAATTAATAATGAAATTATGGCTTTGAAGTACCTTTTTGCCCTGAAGATGCCAATGCTCATTTAAATTGATTTGTTGATTTTGATCTATAATAATTTTTAAATTACTAATAATGAGCAGATTTGGCCTAATTAATATCTAGATTTGAGAACAAGCTCAATTACTTCATTATATTTATCATATAATAGATGTTTTCTTCCATTTTTTTTCTTTAATAGTGATGGTAATGTCACCAACATATTGACTAATTAATCGTATTAAATGGATTTCCATAGAACATAAATACCTTCTAAGTGGTAATATTTAACCACTCTTTTTTTATTAGAAAATAATTTTAAAAGTCTTGTTAATTCTAATTGCTATGCTTACAACTTGGAGACTAATTTTTATCAAATAAAAAAAAAGAATTTCCAAAGCTAAGTTTTTTTTTTTTTTTTTTTTTTTTTTTAAGGATTTAAACATAAAGTCTAAAAATAATTTTTCATAGACTATAGAAAAATCGATTATTAAGAGGAAGAAGAGCTATTTTAAAGTCTTTGTCTAATTTATGGAGTCTTAGATAACTAATAAATTATCTAAGATAAACCTTAAAGAAAACAAAATGCAATTTGATAAGGTAGATAATGTCTATGAGAACTACATAGACCACCATTAGATTACTTTAGTATCAATTTTGTAAGATATCTTTAGTAAGGTCATAGACGTCTCATTTTATTTTTTGTTATCTTTATGTTAAAGAACAATTTGTCCTTTGATAATGCAATGAGTGAACCAATCTGTAGTTAAAACATAATCAATTACAAAAATATAATAATTACCAATGATGTACTAAAAGATTTAAAAAATTCAATACTTACTTTGTTTAGACTAAGAGCTTTGCTTTTAGCCATGTCTTAATAACTTCTTTAATTTTGTATATGCTAAATGATTTAGATAAGTCCTTAGTCATATTTATTGTGAGCTTGTGTAGAATATTATTAACTATAATAATTGTGGCTTCTTAAAATTCTCTAGAATTTTGATTTTTTAAAAATATTAGAAAAGGGCCTTCAGTTTTTTTTTTTTTTTTTTTTTTTCTCTCTTTCCAAGTCTTAATGGTATTTTATAGCTAACCATGAATTTTTTTTTAGTTTTGTGAAAATAAATTCAAAATGACAATTTTTAGTTGTAGCATAAGAAACTTTGCTAATATTGTCAAATATTTGTTTCTATTTAATCCAAGCTTATTTTGACTTCCTTTCTTATTATTAAACTTGTAATTGATTAAAAAATACTTGAATTTGTTTAAGACAAGCTTGAATGCCATTGTCTTAAAGATTAGTGTAAAGAAAAAAAAGTCAACTTCTTACACTTGACTTTATAATTTAATACATTATCTTGACCACAATAATTCTTATTTTTTATTAACAAATACTTATAAAAATAAATAGAATTTTTTATGCAATAATAAAGCAATCTTCCATTATTATAATGAGAATAAATCTCATTAACTTGTTGAAAAATTTTATAATTATTTAAATGATAAATATCAATTGTAATAATAAAAAAATATAAATTTAGATTTATGTAATTCAAGAGTATATTTAATTGAAAGATAATTAGATAGTACCACATTTCTTCTTATACAATGATCTTTAATTTGATTTTTATGGAAGAAAAAAAAATTAAGTAAAATATTTCTAACCTTGTCAAAATCCTTATTATTTTATTTTAATTTTTCTATGAGTATTTTAATAATTCACTTTATTTGAAGATATTTATTAAGAAAAGGCATGAATAAAAATAATTCCAAGGATTTTATTTATCTTAAAAAATAATTTATTACAAAGAAATAATTTATTTCTTGCCTTTTCAATCATATTCTAATATCTACCAAATTTGAATGGAATATTATAAATTAGGTTGTTAGCTAAGTCATCTTAAAGTTGGTATTTTTTTTTTTTTTTTTTTTTTTTTTTTTTTAATCTTTTTTAGATGCATTGATGTTAATAATTCAAATAGATTGTTTTAGAGATATTAGTATGCTATATGCAATCTGCAATGCTATAATATGCACAAGAACATCCACATTATTAATTAAATGTTTAATTTTTAAAAAGATTAATAGACTGATATCCTCTACTTTTGTACTATTGAGATTGTTTTCATAGCATAGAATTGCTTTTAAAATACAAAAACTACATAGGCCATAAAAAATGACCTTAATCCTATATTCTTGAACTATATAATTGTGTTCTTAGAAGAGCAAAATATTAAATTTTAGAGAGATGCTTTGGATATAGCTTCTTAATATTTTAAAAATATTGGAAGTATTTTTTAGATTTTTCATATTAAAAGATAAAATTATCAATTTTAGAAATAAAAACTTTGAAAGTAAAAAAATCACACTTACTATCTTTAATTGCTAATTAATTTTGGAAATCTAAAATATTCATTATTTTAATCTATTGAAATATTTTTTTCTTGCTTATTAAATCTAAGAGATGAAAAACTTTAAATATTATCTATATAGTCAATACACATTTAAAAATCATCATTTCTAAGGTTAAGATCAAACATATGACTAAAGAGAGTACTTGCTTGTTTAAATGTAAGTGATTTGTTTCTTTAATCATATTATTAAAAAAATTAATGAAGTTGATTTCTTCTTCTTTTAGATTACTAGACTCTTAAATTTTGATTTGCTTTGCAATAGCAAGGACCTCTAATATTGACCTAGATACCTTTTTAATTGCTACTCAAGAATATTCAATTAAATCCTTCTTGATGGTCACTTTTATTTAAGAAGATATTGAAGTAGAGAGTTTTGGCACTATTAGAGGATGATTTTCTTGGTCTTGTCTTATAGTTTCATCTCATTAATATATACAAGAAAATATCTATCATCTACTAGAAATAATCTTCTT